TTTTTGAGACTTAAAAGTTTTTTGACGACTCATTTAATTGTATCAAAATCTAGTTTAAGCAACTTAATCAACATATTATTTAGTTCATATAGAATAACTAAACCGCTCTCTAAAGCTTTACTACTAAGTAAAATGTGCAATAAAGAAAAAATACCAATAGCTATAGCTGCCTGGAAGGAAGAACTAAACATAGACATAGATATCAAGCATTGGGGTTCTTCACTGGTGGAAGTTTCGAAGACTATACATTCACTAAATCTACTAGAAACCCACTTCAAGGTTTTAAATAGATGGTACTTAGTACCAGACAAATTGAACAAAATGTACCCCACAATAAATCACCTATGTTTGAGATGCGGCTTAGTTACAGGCACTTTTAAGCATATATGGTGGGAGCGCCATAAATTAAACATCCTGTGGTCTAAAATCCAAAGGTTTATATCTGCAATTCTGAACCTTGGGTTAAGGCTCTTCCCAGAGGTTGTCCTGCTTCACTTAAACTGGCCGGCAATGGCGTATGAGCTGAAAATTATTCTTACTCGTCTCTTTTTAGCTGCCAAAATTGTGATTGCGAGATGTTGGAAAAACTAAATGGACGTCCCTTGGGAGAAAGTTAGAGCTCAGCTTAAGTTCCAGATCAAAATGGAATTAATGATGAATAAACAAAAATTAAGTAAAAAGTAACTGTTTGGATGAAGTGTTGGGAGCGGATAAATAAATAGAGCTTCCAGTAAATAAAGAGTCTGTCAAAACTAATTTCTTTATAAATTTAAAATGAAACATTGCTAGATCGTTTAAACTTTGGATAATATAAGACACATAGACTTGCTCAACCTGTATCTTCTCCTCCCCCCCCCCCGACAAACAGATTTAGCTTATTTCCTATTTTATTTTCTTCTCTCCCCTGTTGCATTGTCTTGTATTTGTAGATATGTAAGTTAAATATATTGTGTTGTTTTTGGTTAGTGAAATGTGTAAGGAAAATTTACACTGCTATACTCCTCAAATTGAAGAAATGTTTTCTTGCATTAGTATGTAAATTATTCTTCTGTATTGTTTTTTATAGAAAATTTTTCAAATAAAGATCATAAAAAAAAAAAAACAAGGGCTTGATACTTATACAAGGATCAGTTTGTATTTTACATCCAGTGGATTAATGAGGAGAGGATTCTAGGTGAGAGGTTTACAATAATAATAAAAAATAAATCAATTTGTATACTGTTAACAGGCAATGTCATTGAATTGAAAAACTATTTGATTACATTTCAAGAAAGCAACTAGTTGATAAAGCAAAGCTTGAATCTCACTCTTTTAATCCCTTCACTATCTAGCACTTTGAAAAAAATATTAGCATAATATTTATTTGAAGCAGGTGATCATAGCTAGAACAGCAACTTTCACACAAACATAAACATTTTAATTATATAAATATATACCATTTTTATTTTTCAAGTATTCATTCAGCCTCTATAAAAAAATTGCGAAGAGAAATCTTTAGAGAGTATACTGTATCCTTGACCTCACAATGTTTCACATATGGTCTGAAATACTAGTATAAAAGCACAAAAAAAAAAAAATTTTCCTTGAACACTGTAGATTTGACAAAATAGATAAATAAAAATGGTCAAATACCTTGCTTATTGTAAGAACCCTGACGGTCTTTACTAGATGTACAGCTTGCTAAAAATGGAAAAAAAGAGTGTAAAAGAATGTTTGTATTTTAGCATAATGCCCACATAAGTAAATACAGGTCTATTATATACTTCTAAAATAAAGGTATTTAAAGCAATCTTTATCAAGTTCTGGAATGCAGTGAAATAGTGGAGTCCATTCACTAGTTACCCTTCCTGACAGTAGGAATGATATGACCTTTAAAACTACTTACATTGTTTGAAAGCAGGGGATGAGGTGACTTTTCAATATGCTTGCATGCATTAGATATGTGGCCAATGGCTTCTGGCCGAAAAACGTGTTTTTCTACAGGCTGGTAATCATTCCTAGAATGTAAATGAGGGTGAGTGAGGCTTTACAGACAATATTTCATGCTACTAAATACATGAAAGTATGCTCGATACTGGGAGTGAAGTGTTTATTCATATTTTTGTTTAAAGGGATTCTCCAGAGTCAGGAAAACAAACCCGTTCTCCTGGCACTAGACACTTACTTGAAACCAAAAGTTGTCTAAGAAGCCACTAGACAGCCACTAGAGGAGGACTTAACCCTGCAAGGTAATTAATGCAGTTTACAAAAACTGCAATAATTAAACTTGCAGGGTTAAGGGTGATGGGAGTTGGCACCCAGACTACTTCAATAAGCTGAAGTGGTCTGGGTGCCTACAGTGTCCCTTTAAGTAAAACTGACAACCACAGATATAAGTACTTTGCTAGTGCATGCCTCCTAATATTGTGAGCCAACCATAACCTTTTTCATATTTAATTATTTTTTTTTTATTACTGGCATTTTATAAGTAACAACATATTCCGCAGTGATATACATTTGGAATTCAATGAGAGTTGCAACTACTGGTAAAATGTAAACGGAATATAAATGTAAAGGGAATATGAGTCTGCACTCCTTGGTTTTAAGATAAAGTGTCCACTGTCCATTGCCCAGAGGGTTTGTCTTTGTATCAAAGACAAATCCATCTTTACTCAATACAACTGGTTTTCATCCTGATTTCAACTCAGCGTAAAAAACCTTAAGTTTAACTACTTATATCTGGGCAATAGGTTGCTTTACATTTTGAATCAAATTGTTTAATTATACTGATTTTGAAACATATATAGAAAATGTATCAATGTGGATGTGCATAATGTTGTTTTTTTAAAATTATTATTATTAGTAGTAGTAGTATTATCAGGCAACCCACTATTCAGAAGATTCAGTACACCTTTAGAAAATGTATATTTATACCAAATATTAATATTTCTGAAGCTAAGTCAGATGCAATTAGTAAATAAGCATCTTACCAAAGTCCTTAATAATAATGAGCACAATAATAACACACAATCTTTAGTACTGTTCTTTTAATTCAGAAAACTTTTGGAGCACTATATCTCTGATTTCTCATAAGAATTCAGGATTGCATTGTGCATGCATGCTGTTCACCTTACTAGCATTCCCTCATATTTGCACTCATGCGAATGCAAATTATTCAAACAGGCACGTTCACTCACATTCAGCACCCAGCGTTCGTCACTTTTGCACTCATTCAGGGTCACATTGCTCATAAGAGCTGTTTGCCTCATTAGCACTTATGTGAATAGGAGTGAATGAGAGATTTCAGATAAATTGTGTAATAAAGGAAATACATATATATTGTGGGATAAAACAAATACATGAATAATGCAAAAACTCAATTTAGCTAATATGCCATAAGGTGCCTAAAATTGCGTTTTTGCATTATTCGTGTATTTGTTTTATCCCACAATATATATGTATTTCCTTTATTACACAATATATCTGACAGAGTGATGTGAACAGGCACGTTCGCGCACATTCAGCACCAGCATTCGGCACTTTTCAGGGAAAATCCGATGTGTAACCGCAAGAGGTGAAGTATGTTGTCAGATAAATTCTGACAAATGACCCGAAAGGATTAAGAAAATAGATATAAAAAGATATTTAACTATTAACATTTTTACACTTTTACATTCATTGTCAACCTCTGTCAAACTCTGTTTTCAATAGCATTCTTGTACCATTGTATTTGTCTGTAAATATCAGAAGCCTTATGGGTTGCTCCATGACATGAAAGCAACTACCTCTTACTCACCTACCTGATTCCAGCAATGTCCCTATTCATAGTTTTGCTACTTACAGCATTCTGTAATTTGACTATTAATCTAAATTCAGTATTTTATCATCACTCCGCCATCCCAATATTTAGTTGTTATTAAATAACTTGAGTTAAGAAAAACTTATGTATTTTTACCCAGCTCTCCTTCATAGAGACAAACTTTACTATATTTGACTCCATTGTATGTTAGATTCAAATAATAAAGTATAAAGAAAAGTAAGAAATTTATTTTTGCTTAATGATCAACAATGAAAATGTAAAACTTGTGTTTTTGATATTTGTTTGCAGAGCGATATAATTGATCATCTAGTAGTAAAAATAATCATTGCTGTTTTTTGGACCTTTGTTTCTAAACATAAAACATAATTAAAAATATTACAACTGTATTTTATATATTTCCCTTAGGAAGCCCACAGAAAATAGTATCACCAAAACAAGGCTGTGAAGAAAGCAAGCACGACAAAGCAGTAGATAAAGGTAGTGAAAGTGGAACATCCTGTAATGAACTTTCATCGTCAAGCTGTGATAGTCATTCTGAAGCCAGCACACCTCAAGAAAAAGAACTCCAACCATCCATTCCCCGCCAGCCAAACACCTTAACTTTGGATCGACCTTCCAAGAAAAATCAAGTCCAATGGGTGCAACCACAAGATAAACGTAGGAATAGTGAGCTCTTTCAAACACTGATTAGTAAGTCTCGGGACACTAATCTTTCTAAAAGAAAGGTCTGCGAGAAGCCCAGTGTTGAAGAGGAAATGCAAAAATGTATACAGGAATTTAAAAAGATTAAAATACCAGATTATTTTCCAGAAAAAAAGCGTGCCTGGCAGATGGAATTATTAAAAAAATATGATGTATAAAAATGAGAAAATACAGATGCATCTTGTGTATAATTGCTGTGTACCCATGTAGAACACCGTGCAAAAACACTGATTTGAACTTAACACAGACATGGATTAGGAATCCATCTTTTGCTTTTTAGCAGCTGAGACAAATCTTATATTAAAAATTGTGAATTTTGCCCATCAATATTTAGGAGAGGAGAAGTTTAACATACAAGCCAGACTTTCTGCATGGTTATCATTTTACTGACGAATCACTTGTATTGTCATCTTTGTATGAAATACCTGTAGATCATTTTTTTTTCCAAGTAAATTTTCACTTAGTAAATATGAGTTTTGTTAAAAACATTTCTGGAAAAAAAAAATATTTGCTAAAACTCAATTTAAGTGATCGAAAAGCATTTCCAAATCAATATTAATGTAAGTACAATAATAAAAAAAAAAATTTAGTGTGCATGAGACAAATGTTTAAGACAAGATCTTCTTGGGGCTTTGTAAATGTAAATTTAGTAATAAAGCCTAATATGAGTCACTGAAGAGTTATATGATTGCAAATGTGATTTGTGTTTTTACGTGATGAACTTTTATCTAATGACTGTATGGTCTTTAATACTCTATTCTCAAGTTTAGATTTTATGAGGGCTACTTGTTTGAAACAGGGAAACGTTATATTGCATAGCTTAATTAATTATTGTTAAATTTTTATTTTATATTCATAAAAGCTTCAAATGATTTAGCTCTAATTATTGTTAAGCTATATTGTCAAAACTGTTATATATTCAGTCTACTTCACAAAACAGATTTCAATACTTGTTTGACTGTATCTACTATTTAGAAAGCACACCAGAAATAGAGAAGCCTCTGCATTTCCAGTTTCTTTTAAAGTGAATTTTTTAATTTTTTTGTTCTTTATAGGTTTGCCTTTTTTGTGAAAAAAAATCTTATTAAAATTTTTTTGTGAAATATTCCATTGAAATTTTAGTTTGCCGATTTGCTGTCTGGTTTTCACTTTGAAAGTTCCTTTCCCTTATGGAAACTTCCACAAGAGAAAATAAAAAGTTAACTATATTTCTATTTCTGAACAATAAGGTGATTGTTATGTATCTTTTTTCGGGGATCTAAACATGTTTTTTTTTTCACCCAATTTTTTTTCTGTTGATTTTGCTTGGAACCAGTGCGGATAATAATGAAGGCATTTTCCATATATGTAATTGCAGTGGCAAGGAAAAGTATGTAAACCTTTTAGAAAAAACTGTATTTATATAAAAATGTGTCTTAATATCTGTTTTGGTGTTTATCTAAGTTGCAGTAATCAACAAACACATCCTGCTTTACCTAATAACACACACATTATTGTATTTTTTTTGTACATATTTGAATATAGCATTCACACAGTGGTGGCTCTAGACTTTGTGAGGCCTTAGGCGAAACTCAAACATGAGGCCCCCACTAACACCCAAAGTAAAACAAAATAGGGATTTGCATTGCGTGTATAAGGTGCAGTAGTTATATTGAAGTATAAGCTTGCAGCGCTGGATACAGAAAGTTAGTCACTGTATGTATTCATTGTTCAGAAGCTTGCAGTGTCGCGGCTCCCTGTGCCGCGGCATTGTGAGCTCTCGTACTGTAGTTATAACATAATTTGCAAACTAAATTAATTTGCAATAAACAAATTTAATTAGCAATTATACTAATCGTTTATACACGACTGCAGGGTATGGTTACATAGCCTTGCATTCATGTATACATAAGTGCCGGTGGGTGTATTTCTGAGAGTATCTTGTTTTGTCTACCTGTGTGTGACAGGTTTTGGGGTGAGTGTGGCACAGTTGGAGGACAGGATTGTAAAGGTTTATGTGGTACGGTGAGTGACAGGGAAGGGAGTGGTCAGGGGGCTGTGACAGGGTAGGTGGTGGTGGGGAAGCTGTGACAGGGCAGGAGGTGGTACGGGGGCTGTGACAGGGCAGGGGGTCATAAATACCTTTTTATTAAATTAATTCTCTGGTGGTCCAGTGGACAGTCTGTATCCCTGGTGGTCCAGTGGGTTCCTTATCTGGTCTGCAGCTTCACCTGGTGCAGAGCTGCAGACCACGTGGTAAGTCTGATTGGCTGCGATCATGAGACATCTCATTCTGCAGCTGGGCTCTCTCCGGGGAAGACTGACTGGAGGGACCTCGCACCTGGCAGCATTATAGGCAAGCTGCCGGGCCCTCTCCTGTGTCGAGCCCTCGGTCATAGACTGAAGACCCGACATGTCAGTCTGCACTATGGGGAGACCTAGGTGGCCCATGCGAGGCCTTACGTGGCCACCTAAATTTCTTAATTAGAGAGTTGCCTCTGCATTCACATATTCACAGTATAGATTGGAAAAAGTATGTGAACCCCTAGGTTAATAACTTCAACAAAAGTTAAGTAGCATTGGAAATTGGCAAACCTGGTGTCCCAATAATGAAAGAAGATTAGAGGTGTGGGTTAGAGCTATGTTTACTTACAAAAAAGCACTCCAACATTTTAAGTTTGCTATTCACAAAAAACATATGTTGATCCTTGAACCTTGCCTTGCAAAAAAAAGCTCATAGAAATATGAGCATTGCATAAAGTTGTTGCATTGCATAAAGTTGGAGTTGATTACATATAGCTAAATGATATTTATCTGTACAATTTATAGACACATTGTGAACAAATTCAAACAATTTAGTACTGTGGCTACTCTCTCTAGAAGTAGCTGTCCAGCCAAGATGTCACAAAGGACACACAATACAATTCTCATTGAGGTAAAAAAAAACTTTAGAGTGACAGCTACAGAGTGGAAGAAACCATTGAAACAGATTAAAGTCTCAGTTTATTAGTCTACAGTATGGAAACTATTGAACAGGCATGGTGTCCATAGTAGGACACCACAAAGAAAGCAACTGATTTAAAAAAACAACAACAAAAACACAACATTTCCATGCACCTAACATTCCACAATACTAGTGGAAAAATGTTTTGTGGACTAATTAAACTCAGTTGTTTGGGAAGAAGATGCAGCACTATGTATGGTGTAAAAAGGGTACAGCATACCAACATTAAAACATCCTTCCAATGGTTAAGTATGGGGGAGCATCATGGTTTGGGGCTGCTTAATGACTAAAATGAGATGAGCAATTCGTGGAGAAAACCAACTAATTGCAAAAGGTTCACATACAATTTCTTGCCACTATATAAATAATATATGTACCTACCTGGGGTGTTTGCCACTATATTTTTTTAAGTATTTGGTTTATACCATAACTTACTAATTTTCATAATATGTTTTTCATTGGGTGATAACAAATCTATTTGCTATTCTTTGGGGAAATACAAATATATTTAAAAAAAAAAAAAAAAGTGTGCCAATATAAAACTTTCATTTGTAGGAAATAAAGAATAATGGGAAGATTTATCAAGTCAAAACAGCTGCTATCCTTGGTGAAAAATGCTAAATATTAAGTGACATTCTACTGGTTTCCATGGTGTTTGGTCCTTATATAGCAATTTGCCACAAACTGTTTAAGTATGATAAACAATACTACACTATCCTTGCTGTTTCTTTTTGCAGACAGTGAATAGCTATATTTCTCACTTTTACCTTGGACACGACTAGGACTTTTCATATAGCTGATGTGACATTAACGAATTTACATTTACATTCTAACTTAATGTAGTTGTTCTGGTGTCTATACAATGTCTCTTCAAAGTAACCATTTTGGAAGTAACCGTTCTCATGCAACATTCAATATATGTGCAATATGTGTTTTGTTTTGTTTTTCAAACTGCTTTGTTATATTTACAATCCTTCTTAATCTGGAGTTTTTTGTAGGCAATTGCAATATTATAAGTGTAAATGTTGGAGTTTTCACCAAATTGAGAATAGTGGGGAATTAATAAGGGAATTTCACATTTTAGACCAAATGAATAAATCTGATCAATATTTGAATTCAATTTGCATTTTTAAAATAAAAAGAATGGTATAACCTGGTTTATACATTTTCCAGGCATCAAGGAACTTGAAAGGGGAGAGTCGTTTTCTGTATGTGTCCATGTACAACAACAGTGAGACACTAATAGGGTGGTATAGATCCAAATATTGATCTTTGGTATATTAAGGGGAGCCCAAATTTGTTATTTCAAGTGCACTTGGAGGAGCGTGAATTAGACACCAGACACCTGTTGGTATTTAAAATAAGTCTCTGTCGGTTATTCTTCAGTTGGGTTTATATACATTAAAAAGTAAGTGCTTATGTGCAAATGCTCATTGGACAGTAGTAGGAAGGGAGTGAAAGGGTGAAAGGAGTACAGATAAGACATAGGGATGAACGTCATCTACATATAACAAATAAGTTCAGAGAAAAAGAAAGAACAAACTGATTTAGGAGAGACAGCTCAGGTGGGGGCTATCTGCTCCCTGAACTAGACATATATGGTCTTAAGTGTCGTTTTAAGCATCAAGCATTTCCTGAGTCCAAGTTAGCCAATTTTAATATAGGATATCTAATATGACATCTATAAGCTTGAACCTTGGAATCAAAGTAAATTCTATCACAAGGGTTATTCATGAAAGGGAGAATTATCAGGAATTTAAAGTGAGTTGAAAATGGCCTGTTTTCCAAATTAAGAATTCAAAGTGAATTTCAAATTTAAGATCAAAACAGCTGAACTGGAAATTCTCTAAGTCAGCCAGGCTTCCAGTTTGGCCACTGTGGCTTAACATTTTAAATTCACTTTCAATTCACTTTGCATTTTCACTTAAGTAATTGACCCTGAAGATGAATTTTAAATTTAAGGTAAAAATAGCAGAACTAGAAGCATAGTTGACTAGTAGAATTTTTTTCCCTTAAAGGGAGCCTCTGGGTAACATAACAACTTCATCAGAATACATTTTTTATGGTGTCAGGATGTCCCTGGCACCGGCCTACCTTTAGGGGATTAAACTATTCATGAAGAGTTTAACCCCAAAATCATCGGCAACATCTAGCTCTGCCCCTGTCCTACGCTGCTCACAGATTCTTAAAACATGAAGCATTGTTCTGTCACTAATAGGGATGTCACTGGTTGACTGAGAGTTTCAGCTGATGCTCTAAATGAATCAGTAGCTCATCATTCACAAAACATATTTTTCTCAAGCTGTTTTTATAAACAAGGAGTTACTGATTGGCTTAGAGTGTCAGCTAACTCTCTGAGTCAATTGCCCCTATATGTGAAAGTCAGAGGCTTCCTTTCCCTGTCTTGTTTGTGAATGGTTTAACCCTTAAAGGTAAGCCAGTGCCATTAACTTCCAGGCACTATAACAACTTCATTCTGAGGAAGTTGTAATAGTGCTCAGTGCGTTCCTTTAAATTTGAAAGTCACTCTGAATTTACATCAAATTCCTGATCATTCTCACTGTAGTGAATAACTTCTGTGAAGGATTTTGGTATACTTTTTATAGACATCAGTATGTTGTGTTGCCATCTGAAATACAGACTATCTACACACATATTAACATTTATTATGAAGAGTTTAGATTTTTGCGAAAAAATTATTAATTTAGTTTTAAACACTTTATTTCTCATGAATCTGTTGTCTACACCTATGAAATCTCACACCTTGGTGTACTCTCCCATTCCAGTAACGAGCACGCTAAGATTTTTTCTCAAAAAAGTCTTCCAAACTCTGACTATGGTAAATACTTTAACATGCTCTGGGTGTATCCCATCCATATGGCATCTGTACAAAAACCACTACTCAGAAACGTGTGGGGAAATGTTGTGTAGGCTGCTTGTAGCTGAGAAATGGGTCTTTTAAACAATGCAGGTTTATTTTCCAGCATTGCTAAATTTAGTAATATGTAGTTATACCTAAATGTTGATAACAATGATAATGATAGAGATTTAAAACTTTGACATATAATTAATTAGCCCCGTGAGTTGGACAATGTGTGACAAACATAGAAACTGTTACTTGATAATGTGCGATAAACCACCATTAGAATAATTTAATAATAAACTGTTTATATCAGACCAATAAACTATTGTTCATGTATAAATATTTTTATTATAACTTTTTTGTGTTAAACCTCGTCATAATCATATACTTTATTTTGAGCATGGGATGAATAGCCAGCACAGGAATGCAGGATAAAGCAGCAAACATATGTATAGGATGCTTTTCAGAGATGTCAAATTATGTACATTTTATACTATATATAATATGTATAATATTATCTTTTAATTCATTTGTCAATACTTTACACAATATTGTGGACTAAAATGTTGCAGGTGCTGTACAGTTTCCCTTATGTTACAATATTGCAAGATAGTGGATAATGAAATATTGTCATAGAAGTAAAGCCACAGGTATAGCAGAAGTAACAGAAAATATATAAAATATAGATAAACTTAGAAAAATAAACATAGATACATATTCCACTTATGGATATTTATAAGGACCCTGGTTAGATTTTTACTAATATGGCATCCTAGAACTGTAAATAGAGTGCAACAATAAAATGGGAGTTGCAAAGTGCTT